ACTAGTTGATTATCATCATGAACATTTTATTATGTATAGGAGACGCTGTATGTTAGATGATTAAGTGGTTTATGTTGTGGGAATGATCCTCAAATGTTAACCTAACAAATGGACTGTTTGGATCATTGGATCCCTCCTTGTAAGTTTTGTATGTCACTATGAGTAATTTATATAATCTGTGTTATAGTTTGACTGTGTCTGCACTTGTTAATCATTATTCTTGGGTTGGTTGTAAGAGGTGTTGAAAGAATGATATTTGGATAATTTAAACAATAAAATAAAAATATTTCTTTAAGTATTTAGAGGATCAAACACTATGATACTGTTACAGCATCCTGTTTTCTCTTGGTATGAATTAACGTTTTAGTGTTCGCTTAAAATAGCTGTTACGGTTTCAGGGATGCTATTTAAATTGATTTGCTGTTGTCTCTTTATGCTCAATGACATTTGGATGCCTTCTTGGCTGATTATGCACAACAAATCAGCCAATTGACTTGTAATGATACTCCATTTGATTATATGGAGGCAATTAGTGTTAGATTTTGGTTACAGCCCTTTTTGTAAGACATCCATAAGAACCTTTTAACTGGAAAGACAATAAAGGTAAATTTGAGTAAACTTGAAACAAGTGGAAGTTTGAGCAACAAAATTTTCCTTTTCTCTCAGTTTATTTATGTATGTAAATATGAATTCTTTAATTGCCTTACAACAAAAATAATTTAAGTTGTTTTTTGACAAATATATGTGGATGATTATTTTTGTTGCTTTTGAACATATGAATTTTACAATCTATGGATCCCTATTTTAGTAGATAAATTATTGACTCTCACACTGAGTTGCAGCAAACTACCACAAAATTGTGTGATTTTCTCATGTTGTTTCCTCGTCTTTGGTGAGTAAAGAAGACCAACAGATGAAGGCACTGGAGTTGAATTCCTGGCAATTACTTAGATTATTGCAAGCACAAATACCTGGTTTATCATGTCGAAATTACCCATGTGATGGCTCAAGGGATGATCAAGAGTCCAGAATAGCTAAGTGCTCTGGGAGCATGGAAGCGATGTTTTGCTGCCTATATACAAATGCTGCACTTCTCCAAAAGTCCTGGATGTCTAAGGAAATCTCCAGGTGATACATAATACCATCTGTTTTTGTATCATCAGAAAAATCCATTAAGTAACGCCTCTAATTCCAGTCTTGCTTGGTAAATGTAAATAGGTCTAATAGTAGGGAAGACTACACCAGCACGGTTGTAGGATACTATGAGTTTCTCAGAACTGCAAGTGAGTGGTTGTCACGCAGAGCGACTGATGTATGTATCTGTCTCCCTTGTAAATCTGAATAGATATTATGATTGTTTTTGATGGACAGAGTTTTAACTGTTTCATTCTGTAAATCTTAGTTTCTTTCACACAACTTTTTTTAACTGACAATTTTTTTAAATTCTAGAAACCTGTGAGACTACTTACTGTCGGAATTGCTGCAATGCTCCTATCTTGTCTGATATTATTAAGCCTTCTATTTCATACATGCAAAGAAGTCTACCTTAGAGAGCAGTCCCTTTTTGACTTAGAGAGCATCAAGAAGACCTGGTATTTAGACGAGACTTTTGTATTAGGCGTAGTATTGATTCTCATTGTAAGTATGGCATCAAGTTCTATGGTAGAAGAAGAGCAATATATTTGGCATTTTGTGGCTTCCACATTGAATTTGCTATTATTGCGTAAAACAATAAAGTGTCCTACAGGGGCAGGAGCACAAGATCTCCGTAGTTCATCCAAGGGAAAAAACAAAATAAGTTTTTGTCGATTGAGTTCCGTCTCTGTGGTTCTTATTTCTGGAAGGATATTGAGAGGCTGGCACCAAGGAGGTGTGAATTGGACTAATCTTCCTGACATTTCAAAGTGGCTTGAGCAGGCTGGGACTGATAATGTAAAATCAATTCAGCTAGTCTCATGCCTTCTAGTAATGAGCTTAACCTTATGTGTTCTTTTTCTATTTGGATTCAACATGAAATTTGTTCTGGTGATTGGATTCAGCTTTCTTATGTCTGGATTGCTGGTTTTGCAACATTTTGTTAAACATCAAGATGGTATGTTTGCGTCATCGAGTTACAGTACAACAACATTGGTACAAATAATTTATGCAATTATGGGTATTTCCACATTTGGGACTGTTGTAGCCTTACCATGGTTCGTACGTTTCTCAACATCTGAGATGGGCTTGAGTCATGATTTGTACATGTCAACTTCTGTTCCCAATGAAGTTCAAAATAACACGCTGCTGGTGAAATTAAGAGAATCTCTGTATCTAGTTGGGTGGGAATACATCTCTTTCTGGTGTCTTCTGCAACTGCTGCTTCAACAAACAATTAACTCAATGACTATATTGTTGCTACTTGTGCAAATTTTGGCCAGCATGCTGTATTTTTCTTATAGTGGCCTGCATCAGAAGCAATGGGTTGAGGTCAGTTTCAATAACCTCTTGTTTTGAGTTAAAACTGATTTCAGTCTTGTGTTGAAGTCAATGTAATTATAGACTGGTCCAGTCACTAAATGCAATTATGTTGTACAGTTATTTATTCCCTAAGCCCGATTTATTTCACACACTAATACTTCATTTTACATTTGTTCTTGTAGATTGCTGCGTTGTACTTTTTGGGAATGGCCGGCCATTTTGCTCTGGGTAACAGCAATTCACTAGCTACTATTGATGTTGCGGGAGCTTTTATGGTACATCTTTACCCTGACATGGTTTATATTATATGCAGAAAAAAATGTATTTTTGGGGTACAGTTGCAGTATTTTTTGGGTCTAATTTTGATTGTTTACTCGTTGCTAGGGAATCTCAAATCACTCGACAGTACTTTCTGGAATTTTAATGTTCATTATCACCTATGCATCCCCAATGTTATTTATCCTTAGCATGGTGATGTATGTCTCTGTGAAGGACACAAGCTATCTCCCATCTCTCGTGAATGCAGATTCCACACAACTCCTCAAACTGATGCTTGGCTTCCCTTGTCTGGTTCCGCTGGGGTTGAACTCCATTTTGCTAACAGCATACACCATCGTATTGCTGATAATGAGGAACCATCTTTTTGTTTGGAGCGTCTTTTCCCCAAAGTAAGTCTCACTTAAATTAAATAAGAGCTTGTATTAGTTTCAACTGATTGTTATAAAAAAATTCTGTGATCATCTATATATGCTACTAGTGAACTCCTTGGTAAGATGTTGGAAAATATATGACACCAATTTATATAGGGCAATGGTGAGACATCTAGAAAGAATTGAGAGTTGAAAGAGAAGAATGACTGGAGAAAAATAAACAACTTAAAACAAGAGTCATCTGTCAAGAAGTATGAAACTCTTACAATAAGACCTTATCTGTGCAATCCACATGATGACATACAGTGAGAGTTGTAATCGGAAAAAAAAAAAATTCGGTGACCAAAGATAAATAAAAATGAATCCCTGAATTCTATTTGTATGTGACATACTAATTTAAGATAAAACCGCCATCTAAGCTTATGTTTACTTGTAAAGTAGATCATTAGTTTTCCTTGCATCTGCTGCCGAAGACATTTCAATAGCTAAATTGAGTACACAGCTCATTAACTTGACTTACATTGGAAACTATGGTGTACATCCATTTTCCAGGTACATTTATGTTTGTACCACAACTATATGCGTCTACATCGGTGTATCTGTAGTAGCTACAACAGTGACATATACTTACTGGGTGCTGGGGTTGAGGAAAAAGATGCAATCTAAGCGTGGCCATCACCATTTAAGATAGAGCTCGACTGCGGGAGTAATGCTAGTTTGTTGGCGGTAAACCAACAACACAGACAGATGATTCTTTTATATGGAAGGGTTTGTATTTTGTTCACTTCCGCCAGAAGATTTTTGTAGAAGTAACAGTTACCGAAACAGCAGAAATACGGGCTGATTAAAGTGTTGATTTTTGAGTTAATTTTGTGTTGCAATAACAATTTTGATAAAGTTAAACTTAGAGGGTAAGACCTTTTATAAAATCATTTCCAATACAATGCAAAATGTTTCTTAATTTTTCTTTTGGTCTTTAGGTCTTTTGCAGGTTCTCACTTTTTTATTTTATTTTTATTTTTATGTTATACTTTATTTTCAGCAGAAAGAAGCAACTCACTTCCGTTATCTTTCTAATAACTTGGAAACCCCTTCAACACGTTATCTGTCTGCCATGTCTACCTGTTGTACTTAATAAATTACATTTAAAGGGCACCAGGTTTCTGCCATACAAATACAATCAGTGGCAGCTTCCCTCCACTCTCCTGCTGCTTCCAATCCAACTTTTATTGGAGAAACATGAATGGCATTTTCAATGGTGCTCCAATGCATCCGATGTTTCTGACGTTTTAGACTTAGATATTTTGTATAAACACACGAAAATTAAGATTTCACAGTTAAAATGTTCGACATATGGATTTAGGCTTTGTCCTATCATTTTAGAGCAGCATACAACTGTTAAATGATCCGTTTTTAATATATCATTATGCCATCGTTTTGTCATTTATATGTATTGCTATATTCGTAAAGATATATACTCGATATGTTGTTGATATTTAATTTCGATCATTTCAACAACTAATCGTCAGAATTTTAGCTAATTACCTTGGACTCACTCTGACTGGGGTCAGACGATACAGTCAATACCATTGAAAATTTTGAAACCCTGTGTCTCCGCACCATCTGATTTTCTGATTGAGCGCAGACCGCACCAACTGCACCAAAATGCACGAGAAGTTTGTGCCCCAAGCAACAGCCACGTCTCTCTCCCTGTGTGCCACCTGCAATGCAACGCATTACTCCTCTAAATGACGAAAATACCCTCAAAAATTCCAGCTCAAAACCCGCAAATCCCCTCAAAACGTCATGCCCTTTTGTGTCCATCAAAATCCTCCTCTTTAAAACGGGATTCCCTCTCTCCCCCTCTGAATATCCCCCTCACTCCACTCCGCTTCTCTCCCCGCACAAAATCCCTGAAAAATCAGAGAAACAAAACAACAAATAATGGAACATGCAAAATGCAGCAGCGGCAGCGGGTCGTCCAAGGCCCAAACACTTCTCAACCGCTCTGCCCATTGCCTCAGCCGCCGAGATTTCTCTACTTGCCGCAAGCTCGCTCTTCAAGCTCGAGAATCCGACCCCTACAACTCCGCCTCCGACCAAATCCTTGCCGTCGCCGACATTCTGCTCGCCGCCAACCGCCAAAACCCACCTGATTGGTACTCCGTTCTTCAGATACCCCGACCCGGACCCGCAAACCCGACTCTCATCCGGACCCAGTTCGAGAAACTCAGGACCCTCTTGCTCTTGAAACCCGGCAAGAACCGGTTCGCTTTCTCTCAGGAGGCTCTGTGGCTCATCAAGAAAGCCTGGTCCGTACTATCGGACCCGGAGAAGAAAACCCATTTCGAAAACGGGTCTGAGGAAGGGAAAGAAAGCGGAAAACAGAGAGAGGAGAGGGAAGAAATTGTGGGTAATGGGAAAAATGGCCGAGGGTATAATGGGGGAAAGACATTCTGGACTCTGTGTCCGTACTGCTATTATATGTTTGAGTACGAGAAGGTGTATGCAGATTGTTGCTTGAGGTGCCAGAATTGCAGGAAAGGTTTCCATGGCGTGGCGATAAAGCCGCCGTCAGGGGATGTGATAGTGGAGGGAAAGGAGCAGTACAATTTCTGTTTTGGCTACTTTCAAATGGTGTATATGGACCCGAATTCGAAGATGGAGTCGGAGGTAGTTGACAAGAAAGACGAGAATGTGGTGGTGATATCCGATGATGATTCCGATGAGGACGATTTCGGTGATGGTAATGTGGGTTTTGAGGGAATGCATGAGGAAGTGGTGAGGAGTGGGAGTCATGGAGCTGAAGGGAAGACGCCGGTGAAGAGGGTGAAGATTCCGGCTGGGCGGATAAAGAGCACGAAATCAAAGTCCGTGGCGAGGAATACGAAGAAGATAATGGGGAATGGGATGAGGAGTAGGAGGATTGAGTTGGAGGATGTTGAGAGAGTGAAATGTGAGGACATGGAGGTTGAAGAGGGAAATGGAGTTGCTGAGGGAGAGGGGGGTAGTGGGAGTGGTGGAACGGGAGGGCTGGAGTTTTTTGAAGGAGAAGATGATATCTTTGTTGGAATTGGGGATGGTCCCATATGAAAGGAATGCATTGCTTTTCGGGGTCGTTGACGGAAGCTTTCTGAATGGTTGAGGTAGCTAGTGGAAGGGTTTTCACAGTTGAAAGGAGACTGGATGATGACTCAATGAACCAGGTGATTTCATATCAAATCTGAAAATTAGATGAGTAGTTTATTTTGGTAAATTTAACCGACTTTTATCTTGTAAAAATGAAAAGTAAAGCAGAGGTTCTGCTACATCTCTTTGCTTTCGGTATAGTGCATCTGTGCTAGTCGCTGAGAGTACATGCCTGTCTACTTCTTTCTGACTCTGGTTAGTTTTGTGGAAGAACAGATGGGGCTTAATGAATTTGGGGACCGAAATTAACCTTATCATAAATCCTAGATTGACTCTCTTTTATCGGTTTATGCTTTGTTTAAACTTTGAAAAATGCTTGTTGTGAATGAATGTTAATGAACAGTTATATGCTGCGCTGCTTGAGACTTCAAAATGTTTCAGTGAGTTATTGAACTTAGATTCTTAGAATGTTGGTTATCGCTCCATTTTTCAGGGGCTCGATATCATCTATATTATACCAATGTCATTACAAGTTGACAGCTTAGTAGTAATACAGAAGTTCTCCCTGTTCAATGTTCCTTTTCCCTTCTGGATTGGAGGATATCAAACTTTCACAAGTCTTCACTTGTTATTTTCTGCGTTCTCGAAGAAAATGTGGTATAGCTATTATGGTTAGTATTGCGGTAACAGATGAAATGGAAAAAAATGGACGGAGGTTTTCCTTGCTTCATATCCCTTCTTATTTCACAATTGAGCTGGTCTGTCTTATCAGTTCATACATCCTTTTATGGTAGGTCTGTCTAAGAAGTGTCTAGGCTACAATCATCCTTCTGAGCTTATTGTGTTGTTTAAGATATATTGGGTATATCCTTATGAGTGTCTCTTCTTGTTCCTCACTTTAGCGTATGCTTCATACGAACCAACTTGGTTGTAGGGCACATCATTTATAAGTATAATCTTCAGGACCTTAGCGATCGTGATGAAGCACCTAGATTTTAAGGTCAGTGAGAAAAGAGGACTAGTTGCAGGTTCAACTTTTGTTGTTGTTACATTGTAACTTATCCCACATCAATGTTTTTATTTACGTTGGAAAATGCTTTTCTATCCAATTTAGATGAAAGCAAGTTAAGCAACTTACATGACCACTAATATTAACCTCCCAGTATGCAACATATTTTGAAGCTTCTGCATTGTATTCAAAAGTTATAAAGCACTCTTCTACATGTTAATTATTTTATATTCGTATATACATAATTGAGTATGAGATGGTGTTGTTCAAGAAAAACAATAGCAATGGTGTTAAAAATGTTAATGTACTGTATGGCTACTGCATTGTGTCTTCATTCCTACTGCTACTGCCCATGATTTGTGTATGCAAACAGTCATATTAGTCACTGATATGGCATGCATATTTAAAATGATTGCAGCTTTCTATCATCATATGTTTCAATACAATTATAATGGCGGCCGATCCTGGACTGGACTTGGAAAGTCAGTTTGATAAGTGTTTATTCTTGTTAGATGTGACCAACGTAGTTAGCCTGTTAGGAAGTTCAGATGAATTAGACAGAAATCTATATATCGCATTGACAAAAATTGAAGAGTATGAGTTCCTTGAATTAGAATTCGATTTGGGTTTTTCTAGGTTGGGAATTGGGTTCTGGATTTTCTGCTAAATGAGTGATTTCCATGTACTGGACACTGCTTGAAAGATAGTAGACAACTTGGAAGTTGTGATATATTTATCTTCTTCTTTCTTGTTACCTTTTTACCTTGTTGTTTGTTGTTGGTGCTTTGGTGGTTGGGAATTTACGATTCCAACTCAACTAAAAGATGTGATGCGAACGAAGAGGAGAATGACTATACCTATACATCCTGAGACGTTACTGTGGCATTTCGAACTTATCACATGTTGCCATGCGTTTTAACTTCCCCACATGATGTTGCGGAGAGATATTGAGGTGTAATTATAGCATGTGTGGTGTTTCTTTTTCTTTCTGTATACTGAGCTCAGGTTTTATACATATAATATGAGTTTGTTCAGGGAATTAAAACGTATGCAACCTATTTATATCACGTTTGGAAGTGCTTGACATGATCAGAAAATGAGACTTACAAATTTATCACATTTACTTAAATAACAAATTTAATAAAGATATTGCATCGTTGATCACATCTCTTACAAAGATAAGTTCCACGAATGTCACACATACTTAACACATAGTTTTATTCTTTAATAAGACTTTGATCGCTAAACTTATTCACCCAACATCTTTTACGAAGATAAGTTCCACGAATGTCACGCGTAGTCAACAAATTGTTTTATTCTTTAGCAAGACCTTGATCGCTAAACTTATTCACCCAACAGAACATTCCACAATGCATGGTAACAACTTCATGCTTTGGCAAAGTCAATTGTACCCTTCCCATCATGAGCCTTGCGGAAGAAATGTTTGACATAGTCAGAGTAGAGAACTTGTTTATACACTGCTTTCTCCCCACTTGCAAGAACTTCCGGCAGCGGAGCGATCAAATCCGATGGCCTTGGGTTGACAAAAATGGGAACCGAAATTCTGTTCTTACATCCATTGGCTGCGACTCGATGCTCGATGCTCTTGTATCGTCCGTTGCTCATTATTTGCAGTGCATCGCCTATGTTGATCACCAACGACCCCTTCACTGGCGGAACATGAACCCAGCTCTTCTTATCGGTTCCGCGGATGTAAAGTCCACCGATGTGGTCTTGGAGGAGGATTGTGAGTGTTGAGACATCAGAGTGACGGCCGACTCCAACCGTGAGCTCAGGGTTTGGACACACCGGGTAGCAGTTAAGGTTAATCCGCTTGGATCCCATTAGAAGATGTTCCTTTTCTTGGTCCAGTTCCTTCACGTTTAGTCTTTTCATTAGCATTTCTAGGATTTGTTTTGTAAGAATGTCGGTCTTCTTCATGTATTCCAGCACTTCAGCCCTACAAACATGTATGCATATATTAGATCATACGATAATTACATTTGTAAGTACATAATAAAGGTGTTAAAAGAGAATAATACATAGGAGAGATTTAAGTGAAATCGTCCTTTCTCCTTATCATGCATGCTAGCATGTCAGGTATAACCATTTCATGATGGGTATTTGGAAATGAAAAAGATCTAACAAATGACTTAATATGAGCAGACTGATCTGCCATCACAATGACATAATACGACTATCATACGTACACTAATGATTCTCGACTGAACTAATATAATTATATGTATTACAATAATTCATTGATCATACTAGAGAAAGTATGGTCAACATATATATATATGTATGTATGTATGTATGTATATATACAAATAGTTTTGATTTAATGTTGTGGTGTAAAGAGTAGATACTAGTAGTGCTTACTTGCATGCAGGAGGCCAGAATGCAGAGGCCTCATCCTCAGACACATAGAATAGACTAAGCCAATCTTTCCACTCCAAAGCCTTCTCTGCATGAGGACTAAAGCTCGTTCCAAACCGGACATTTTTTGAGGCCGAATGCTCAACCGAATACTTAGTCTTCTTCTCGGCTGGCAACTCGAAGAAGCGATGAGTTGCTTCCTTCACATTCTCAAGCACTTCGATTGGCACCCCATGATTCACTAGTTGAAAGAACCCCCACTTCTCCGCTGCATTGCAAATTGCTTCTGCAACTTTTGGGTCGTCAGAGTTCGACATGTCGATGATGGGAATGTACTCTCCAGGGTTTGTTGTGGCCACAACATTCATAGTAGTAATTCTTTCTTCAAGGGGTTGGATATATTGCTTGGGGAGGGCTTTTAGTCCCATTTCTGAAAGACCCCTTACTCCATGACTTTTGCTTATAACAAAATCAGTGACGCTTGAAGGGTCGGTGATGGTTTGTGCCACAGGTGGAGCCATTTCTGTAGGTTGGGACTTGGGAACGATCCAATGAGGGTTGCAAAATTAAATCTTCAAAGAAGTCTCTGGCTTGAAGAATTGGTTTGACTATAAAGTGGCAGCAGAGGTATATTTATATTTGAGTTTTATTAATTAACAATGTCTCACCAAATGAGTTAGCAATTAGCATGCCTAAGTTCTTCAAGCTTTGGGTTTAGGTGTGGCACTAGTTTAATTGTGTTCGGGTGACAATCAAACAAACAATTGGTGTTACCAATTCTTCCGTAATATATATATATATATATATATATATATATTTTTTTTTTTTTGAAAAAACGATATTATCTATATTAAGAGGAAGGAGGGTGAGCTTAGCCTCACAATGGGTTAATAATAATGTGGTTCAAATTCGCCTTTGGCGAGAGTTGAATCTAAGACATCTCACTTATAAGTAAAGAGAAATACCAATGAATTGTTTATCCTTATTGGTTAATAACATTATATGAATCATTCAGCTAGTCGTCATGCCAAATATATAGGTTAAATCTAATTCTACAAACTTCTTTTTCTATCTGTTTTAGAAATGCTTTTATGAAAAACATTTCTGTTCAGAAGCGCTTATAATTAATATTATATTTTTAATAAAAATACAAGTAATTTTCTGAAAAAGCACTTGAAGTGTTTCTTAAAAAAAAACTTATAGTAGGTATTTCTTGAAAGAAGCTTATATCAAGTGCTTCATGGAAGAAGAACTTGAAGAGTTTTTTGTAACTCAGAAACACTTTTAATCTTTTATGTCAAAAATTTTAGTTAAAGCACTTTGGATGATATAAAAGTGTTTATCTTCAAACCAATTCCTCCCTCCCTCACTTCTTAGTATAAATATACTTTTATATCAAAACAAACATTTAGAGGACTTTTCTTAGGTAAAGTGCATGAATTATGAAAATCAACAGACAATAGCATAGTATATAGGTCTTCCTTAGCTTTAGTGGTAGGTGATCGTGGATGCTTCATGTTGTATGCAGTATAATAGAAAAAAAAATGCTAGTTATTTATTATTTTTATCTCATGTCATATGCAATATATTAGAAAAAATGCTAGTTTTGACTAGTATTTTATGCAATATAACAGTCAAAATCTTTTCCGTCACTATGATGTGAGGTCATCTCTAATTTGTACTTAGGGTTACCAAAAATTGCGACCAAGAGAAAAAGAAAAGGTTCTTAAAAATCTAGTATTATTTATGGGGCTAAATTACATTTGATCCCTCCCAAATACAATCTTATATGACATTTTCAAAATATATCAATCTCGTACATTTTAGTAATTATTTCATTTCAATTTCATACAACTGTTAGAAAATTTGTTAAGTTAGATGTTGAATGATGACGTGGTAACACTAGATTCCACATTTGTGTTAACGTGGCTACCAACTTATGCCACATGACCAAACAAAATATTTACCCATCTTCTTTCTTTTTTGATTACCTTCCTTGCATATGTATAAGACCGAATCCATTCGATTTCTTAAAAAGATTACATTTTGCATCCATAGGTTTGTGTTCAATTTCAACTTTATACAACATCATTAAAACATTGTAATCTCATAGATTTACTTATTATTTCATTTCAATGTCATACATCCATCTCAAAAATTTGTTAAGTTAATCGTTAAGTGATTATGTGGTAATAGTTAGTTCCATATTTGTGTTGACATAGCAGTCAAACTTGTGCCACAAAACCAAACAACTAATTACAAAACTATTTTGTCTATAAATGTTTATAAAAAATTTAATTTAGTTGGCTTATCCGAACAACTGATTAAGAAAATTCAAATATGTGAACAATTTAATTTAGTTGGCTTATCCGAACAACTGATTAAGAAAATTCAAATATGTGAACAAGAAATTAAGCAAATACTAATTAACTAAAATCAGATTAACTAGTTCAAAATTTTAATTATCAGCTTAATCTTCGTGCTGGAAAATGATTCTAGCAAATCAATGAACTCAAAAATCACATTTGGATTTAATGTCAATGCAGAATTATAAACACCAACAAAGTCTTATCCCACTAAGTGGGATTGGCTGTATGAATCCTAGAACGTCATTGCGTTCAGTTTTGCATTAAGTTTTTTTGGTAGCTCGAAGTACTCCATGTCTTTTCTTAAAGTCTCTTTCGAAGTCTTTCTCTACCCCTTTTGGCCTGAGCACCTATTTCATAATTGCATTTTCAAACCGAATCATATGTAGGTCTTTGGTTTACATGTCCAAACCACCTTAACCGATTTTCTCCCTTAACTTCAATTGTGATCACTCTACTTTACCTCTGATGTCCTCGTTCTTAATCTTAGCCTTTCTCGTGTGCCCACACATTTTCAATGGAGCACTCTATCTCCGTTACACTCAATTTTTTGCACGTGGTGATGCTTGACAGCCCATCATTTCGTGACATGGAGCATTGTTGGCCTTAATGTTCTATAAATTTTTTCCTTTAGCTTTATTGGCATACCAAGGTTGCACAACACACCTGATGCATTCTTCCATATCATCCATCCAACTTGTATTCTATGGTTAAAATCTTCATCCAATTCTCTGTTCTTTTGTAAGATAGATCCAAGATAACAAAAGTGTTAATTCTTTGGTACTTTTTGATCTCCAATCCTTACCCTGTCATTTAGACCCTCATTCCCACTGAACTTGCTCTTCATGTTGGAGTTTTGAGGCTCCTTGTTCCACATCGGGGAACATAGGCTTCCCAAGGACCTTTATATATGTTTTGTCTTCTACATTAGTAGTTAGGATTTGGACCATTTGGAAATGGATTGAAGGCTTGGGCCTTATGGTTGTGTGGATTAGGTTTGTAAAATATAGCCTAATACAATTAATATTAATTAATCAAGACAAGGGCCTTGGGCCTTGTAAGTTAAAATTATTAATTTTGGATTAAGTTTTTTAATTAACATATTAATTAAAAAACGTTTTGATTAAGAGGCATAGATTTTAGAAAGAGTTGTGTATTTTCAAATACGTTCAACATGTATTTGAAAGAGTATGAAACAACTTATATATTTGTAATCTCAGTTTTCAAAAAAAAAAAATCATCTTTTCTTCCTCCTCTTCTGCACTAAATTTCCGGAGAGTAAACACATAAAACAATTCGCTAGAATTCTATAATCCAGTATGGGTTGTGGAATTAGATAGTTGTATCCTGGTCGAGCAGACGTTGTAGAACCACAAGCACAAGAGTGGGACAAAAATACTGTTCGAATGACATAGCTTTTGTGCTAGCCTCTACTTGTGGTTAGTCAAGTTAGCACTATTTTAATTCCTGCATTTATTTCTGTATTTCATTATGTATAACAAGTATTTTTGGTTAATAAAGTATTAGAATTTCAAGTTCTTATTTCTGTTATTTTTATTTATTTCTAAATTGTTCTCCAACACTTTATACTTTTCCTTTAACCTATTTAGGCAAAGACTTTTAGATCCCAACACTTTCAGCCAAAGGTTAAACTTCATATTTACTCGACCCTGTGTTTCATCTATCATTATTTGATTCGCACACTGGTCTTGATCTCGCGATCGACGACTCTGATGAGGTCGATCCCCACTTCAATTTGTTCAAAGGCTGAGGTGGTCCCTCTTGAAGGAGAAGATGGTGGAGGGTGCTTGTAAGAAATTTGTCTGCATCGTCGACAAGTCGAAGCTCGTCAGGGAGTTTTCGATATCAGAACATGGTCTCCGTCGATGCCCTGTAGTTCGAGTTTGTGATGGGGCAGGGTGTGGTTGCAAGCCTTGCCCGTGGGGAGTATATGGTTTTAGGTTTTTTTTACTTTCCTTAATTAATTATTTTAATATCCTAACTAAATTATAATTTTTAAAAATATTTGTAGAAAAATTAGTTTTTGTTATTAGTTGTTTAGCCATGTGGCATAAGTTTGGCGGCCACGTTAACATAAATGTGAAATTTATTGTTACTACATCATCAATTAACGGTTAATTTAACAAATTTTCTAATGAACGTATGAATTTGAAATGAAAGAATATATAAATGTATGAGATTGAAATATTTTGAAGATATTGTATGAGGTTGCAATTGAATACAAACTTGAAGGTGCAAAATATAATTTACCCTATTTATGAAGCACACGTTAAAAGTATCATGAGAAATTCATTATGCCCACATTTTTGTACTTCCTTCCTACCTCTTAAACTCAGCGATAACTTTGCATTGGTTCAAAATGCTGTTGATGAATTATGAAGGGAAAATTAGAATCCCATGCAATTTTCTAACAGTCTTTAGATCAAACATTGGTTCAATTTTGAAATTTGATTAGGACGCCTAAACAATAGCCATGTCAGCGTTTTTATATTTATTTAGATTACATGTCATTATTGTGTTTTTTTTTAATTTAAAATGTTAATTATTAAATTCCATATTGATGTGAAAATTAACTTGATACACAAATTAAACCATATTGTTGACAATTGTAGTATATATGCAAGTAGGAATCGTTGTAGACCGGGGATTAACTTAGGATGCTAATCTACTCAAAACTGACTCAAAAACATAAAAATAGGCTTAAAAACAGAAAACTAGAATCTAATGACTCAAAACAAGCTAAATAAACTCATTAAATTGACTCAAAACAGGTCCTAGAAAGTAATTTGGACGAAAATTGAACTAAAAAGACTCAATATGGCAGATTCTCACGAATTAAGACAAAAGTAACACAATTAAGAACTAATGGGTTATTTGGACGAATTGTGACCTTAACTTGACTCAAAACACTAATAGAACTAAACTTAAACAGATTCTAACTAAGTTGAAACACTAAACATTAAAGGGGATTGATTTTGACGAATTTAACTAAACTAGGTAGATTGCAAAACTAAACAGATTAAACACTAAATTGGTTGAATTGAATAGGTAAAGGCTAGTTAGAGGGTCCTTCTCCACACATGCACATATGCAACACAAATTGATTTCCAGTTATTATCCCTTAAAACCATGAA